TGTGACCCTGGACCACAAAATCAGTCATAAGGGTCAAATTTGTTTTAATTGAGATATATACATGTTCTGAAAGCTGAATAAATAAGCTTTCTGTTGATGTATGGTTTGTTAGGATAGGACAATATTTGGTCAATGAGATACAACTATTTGAATATCTGGAATCTGAGGGTGCAAAAAAATCTAAATATTGAGAAAATCGCCTTTAAAGTTGTCCAAATGAAGTTCTTAGCAATGCATATTACTAATCAAAAATTAAGTTTTAATATATTTACAGTAGGAAATTTACTAAATATCTTCATGGAACATGATCTTTACTTAATATCCTAATGATTTTTGGCATAAAAGAAAAATCGATAATTTTGACCCATACAATGTATTTTTGGCTATTGCTACAAATATACCCCAGCGACTTAAGACTGGTTTTGTGGTCCAGGGTCACAATTTGTCTGACCGCCCTGTTAAAGAAATGATACAGCAAAGAAAGACAGGAAATCCATAAATTAAGCAATTTTTCAGTCTTGAATAAAATACTTATTTACATCAACATTTCTTTTGACTAGTCTAGATTTTGTTATTTATTTTCCACTAAGCACTGGTTTATTGAGGATGTTTTTTCCGTTTATATTCTATGTTCATTTTCTCTGGTACTTCAATGAAGAATTACATTCTACCCTCTTACCCCTCCATTTACTCTGTTTAATATCTCCTCAGCTGCCCATAAATTTTATTGATTGCGGAGTGTGTCTGTTTTTGTGTGTGCTGCCCAACCTTGCACTTTCCCTTATTAGTAATAGGAGAATGCATTCTGTGCTTGCTCATTATATTTACCACATTTCTCCTGACCTTGGCCAAAGTAACATCCAGAAATTCTCACTGGAAGAAACTGTCCACAGACCAGATGTTTGAGAAGTGATTTAAACCTAGAAGAGAAACAAAGTATTAGGAATTTGAAAATGTTGGAAACAAATGAACGTTATGACAGAAAACGAATTAAAAAAATATCATCAGGTTTTACGCAAACTTGTGAAGTTTATTCCGAATGATGCGGTCACTACAGCCAAAGACAAACAAACTAAATATTAGAACATTCTGAAATTAATGTCAATTTTTAAACTAAACTTTTCACTTAAATTTTGCTGATAATAA